GTGTGTCCAGCGTGAAAGTTACTTACACATAGAACATTTCTTTCTTTACTACTATAGTAATATTGCTTATGCATGTTTCTTTCTAAAAATGAAAGCTTCACTTGAGAATGTTTCTAATATGCACACTAGTCTAATGATTTCTGTGATCATTGATTTGTAGCATTCATTAAAAAAATAACAAGAAACTCTTTAACTCTTTAAAAGATAAACAAGAATGTAACATGGATGTTTTTGCATTTTTAAATTAGGCTTTCATGACAAAATCTCTGTTTGATGGAGATGAGGTTAAATTCAGCTATCAGTGAGTGGAGAGCATTCTTTGAAATTGCACATGCTCATATGATGAGTTAATAAGGTCTTTGATTTCTTGATTTAGAGTAGGTTATTAGTTGTAAAATCCATCTTTCCCTTGCCTGTATAAAACATTTAAAAGTAATTATTCTTAGCTTCCAATATAATAATTACAGAAGGATGTCTTAGATAAGAAAATTTTATATGAATTATTAGAAGGTCTACATGAATTATAATGACTTTTATGTTTTGTTGTCTGTTTCCAGATGTACACTTAGGTTTAGATTTACTATAGACTTAGCAAATCAGCAAGGGATATGCTGGTGTAAGTAAGTAGCCTTAATCTCTTTTGAAGTCAAGTTGCATCTTGTAAGATTAATTCTTCCTCCCACTGCTCTTTTATGTATAGATTAAATAGTGCAGGGATAAAGTGCATCTGAAAAAATCTCCAGTGAACTGTAAGTGCTTTTCTCCTAAACTTTGGAAATGGTATATTAAAAACTGGTGAGCCCTTGTATATTTATTTCTATGTTTGAAAAGTGAGTGCAAAATACTAATATTCTGCTAACTTTGCATGTCTTGTCTATTTTACAAAGAGTAAACACCAGGTGCAAGGCAGAGACAAACCACCATTACATTTCTAAATTTTGACATGTGTGTATAATAATGACTGTATTTTACATTAAATGAGTTCTTAAAATATTTGTCTCAAATGTTTAGTGTGGCCCTGAGGCATGCTGACCACCTGAAGCAAGACTTTAGAACCACTTGGTGTCTCCAAAAATCCTGGCTATGGGTCCCCTGATGGATGTATGCGTTTGTATCAGACTTGGTGGTTATTGCACCACAAAGACAAGTGATAATTTTGCTGAATTACAGTCATGCTGTGCCCTGAGCTTCATTACTGGAATTGTGGCTGCTTGTACCAGTAGAGGTTTTGGGCCCCGTTTTCTTCTAATTGGGTTGGCTGGCATCATCTGGTTGTCCTGCTCAACATGAGCAACATTAAACAACTCCTGGCAAGAGAGAATACATGTGTTTCTCAGGAGAACAAAGAGGTGCTTATTGCAATGCACAAACAAAAGTGATGGAATTCCAGTTTTAGTTCCCTGTTGTCTGGCAGCCTGGCTAATAATGCTTGAATTCATTTGATAATAGAATAAACCAGTATTTCCACCATGAATATATCTAATTCAGGGTCCTATAAGTGACCACTAATGTTGCAGTATTTCCAAGTCTTGTTGCATCACTCATACAGCAACAGTGCCCTTGCATATACAGTTTTGCTTTCTCAAATAGCTGAATTCAAACACTACCATCGCATAGTTTTGGCTGAAAGAAAAGCACTGCTAAAGGACACAGACCTTTCACACTTTAAGAGGCTTCCAGCTTAATGTGATAAAGTTTATCCCTTCCCTACTGACCTCTTTAATACCTAACATAATCTTTCTGTGCAAAGAATGTGTCTGAGAAAAATTTATCTTAGAAAACATTGCTGAATAAATGCTTTTCTTTCCACAGATTAACACTTTGAATTTGATTGTGACAGGTGGCTGGAGACACAAACACTGAGAAATTTTAGGACAATTTTTGTGAGCCATTGTATTAATAATTTGAATATAAAAACTTATTCCAGACTCAATTTTTATCTATCGTATCTCTATATATATATGCACATATAAATAAAATATTATTGTTCCAGCATTAAATGAATATTGAAATATAAGACTGTATGAAGTATATGAACAGTATTTTTTTCCAAATTGTATTGGCACATAGCCATTAGCACTGATTTTAATAGTGCTTGGAGGAAGAAAACACTCCAGTTTGGAGATGATTAATGTTCTATGTTGCAAAACAAGCATTGCTGAATGAAAGGAGGCTTTCCTTCCCCATGACCAGATAGAAAATTCTGCCTGCATGAGAAAATGTTGGCTATTTTATTTCTCCTGAAAACAGCTACAACTCCACTGATTTATCCAATTCATCCTGGTACGTGTTGGCAGGAAGACTCAGACCTCAATTTTGAATCTGTTTGTCTCAGTGAATTGGAAAACAATAGTTTTGATGGCTGTATTATAAAAACCCTGAGCAGCCACTTAAAAAAACCACTAGCTTTTAGTAGAACTAAAAGTCAGTATCTAACTGAAGAAGCATAGTGCAGTAGGGAGCATGAAGTAGCAGTGTGTGCACAAAAGGCTGCAGAGGATGATAAATGAATAAATGCTGTTTATAAGGGTATGTACTGAAGTATTCAGTATGATATAATGGATTTCAGTAATTGCATAAAAGTGACTGCAAAAAGAAAAGAAAGAGACTTCTGATCATTGACCAATTCCCACACCACCTGTATGAAGTGGGTCTCTCTGGCTGCCTTGTTACCAGGCTGCACTGTGGTACCTTTGTTGATATGCACGGACTTCACAGCTGTACACAAGGGAAATTGCACTTTTTTTTTTCATTGAAATAATAACATTCAGTATGCTGAGATACAGAATCCAACTTCTTCATGCTGTGAAACACAAATCTTCCTATTCTGTGGGAGAAATGGCACACTTATGTCCGTTTTACTCTAAAATTCACTGTACAAATATAATGGGATGAAAAGGACAGAAGTAAAAACCCACCATGGTAATGCATTTTAAGATTAAAACTTCAGGAGCAAACCCCACAGCAATCCAGAGTTAGTGTCAAGAGTTATTCCTCTTTGGAATAGAATTAGTTCTTCTGCTATGTGAACACAGCATGCATACTAAATGCAGTATCCTATAGTTCTATTGTCATGCCTGGTGGATGGATTAAAAAAACCCGGAAATTCCTCCTTCCACTGCTGGTGAATGATTTGTTGCACTCCTTAGTGTTAGGGAGATGTTTTATGAAGGACTTAACTTTGACATGCTCTAAGATGGAAACCGCTGGAGAAACAATAATTTTGACTTCTCTGCGTTTTCAGTCTTGGCAATACAGTCCTGAAGCAGAGCACATTTTATACACGGCTTCCCTACTAGCATAACGGGAAAAAAAAGAATTTAAACAGTCTTGGCAGCTCTAGGAAGGTATCAGGAAAAAGGTGTGGTCTGTGTTATTTTGATATAATGGCTTAAGTATTATTTCATTATTCAGAGATCCCCCTTGTACATCTCCTGTGCAGACATTGAACAGATCCACTGAGGGAACAGCATAACTCTAACTCCTACACCAGAATGGCTACTGGTAAGTGATATTTTTATTCCTTTAATCGAAGCCATGGCCAACAGGAACCAAATTCTAGATGAAGCATGGAAAATGCTGCCTGTGGGCCCCTGGGTAAGTGCTCCAATATATGCATATTTTCTTCAATACTGGGAGATTAACTAGTATAATCAAGGGGAAAATATCAGTCCTTCAGCACACCTGAAACATGCCAGGACTTGTTCTGCAAAATCTGACAAGTTCAGCAAGACACACAGCAGAGGAAGCAGCCACTGACCATTTCCCAGGAGTTTACAGCTATTTCCACTCTTTATTCTACCAGAAAGCTGAGCACCCTTTGCTTACAGAGGAAGCACTCGCTTTTCAGAGCACAGGCATCTTCGTTGTGCTGGTGCTTAGGGAGAAAATCTTCACCCGTCTTGGATACATTATGTACTCCATAATGTATGCAGTGGAAAACAGTTGAAGCATTTTACAGCAGCTGGCAGGAAAAAGAGTCCACATGTTTGAGCATTTTGGGGGATTTAAGTTTTTGGCTAATGTGCTGCGCTATGAATGCTTGCACTCACAGAACAAACTGCTGGGCACATGCTGAGCGAAATTTCACTTGGCTACCAAGAAATAAGGAAGAGAGGACAAACTCTGGTACAGTTTATTGCAGTCAAATAGCTTTAAGGCTGCATTTTGATGGAAACTCTGAACTGGGATACTGTGACACCATCTGTGAAGGGAGCTGTCCTGCTCGCCCCCGCTACCCCCTTTGGTGCCTGAAGTCAGCTGCTCACGGTGGCCAGGGACTGAATTGGTTTGGGAAAACGGTGTGCCTCGAAAATAATGCCTATGTTGTTCACTGGGGTACTTTGCAGGCAGATCACTTCACTCATCTGGGTCCCTGGAAGGGTTCAGAAATGTTTGTCCTGGCACACAAGCAGCAGAGGAGGTGGGGGAGAGAGGATTGGTGCTCCCCACACACACAGCCAGTTTAACATACTTGGACTACGGTCCAAATAAAATCCCAAACTGCATCCTGGGCACAAATGAGAACTTGGGATTGGATTTCTGCACTTCTCCCTTCCCGCCTCGCTTGGCTCCCAGCTTTGCAAATCGCTGGTGTGTGCCATTGAAGTGGATGCACAGATTTCCCTGCTTTGCCCAGCTCTGGGAACGCCAGGGCACACCAGCCCTAAGTGGGTCAGAGACTTTCTTTGTACAAGTGAGCTGAGCTGCTGGGAAACCTCGAAGAGCCACGAAGCAGCTTCTCACACATGCCGTGGGGGGGACGGGGTGAGGAGGGGGAGCGGATGAAGTGGGGCTGAGCTTCCACCACACTTGACTCCTTGCCAGCATAAGCTTCCTTCCAGGGCTTACAGGCACGGCACAAGCCTGAGTAAAGCCCCAGCTGCTCCCACGGCTGCCAGGGCTAAGCACCCTGGAATCAGAGCGGTGCCACCAAGCCCTGCATCTGTCACTCGATCTTCTCTGTGCTCGGGAAGTGGGGGAAGTGAACGAGACACAAGTGAGCCTATTAGCATTTATTATTTGTATTATTATAGCACCTCAGTGCCTAGTTGTGGACCAGAATCTCATCCTATTAGCGCTGTGAAAACCCAGAGCCAAACTACTGTAGTCCCTGCCCCAGAGGGCTTACAATCTCCTTTTCCAAACAGGGGTATAAAGAGATGGAAGGGATAAAAGGGAGCACAATGTTGGCCACTGTGACAGAAATTGTTGACTTTCTGCTAAGAACCATCAGCTCTTAAATGCTTAGTTGGGTTTAGATATTTCTCACACAGTCAAAATTTTGTATTTCTCATGAAAAAAAAATCAAGAAATCACACAGAACTTCATGTTATATAGTGAAAAACGTTTTTCATTGCAAGAAACACACACAAGGTTATTTTTAAAAAATATTGTTTAGTCTGTAACTTCTAAGCTGATATCTGAACATGTTTTAAAAGTCTACACATGCAGTGTACAAAAAAAGTTAGATTTTTAACCAACTCGTTTGGCTCATTCCTTTATTCAATTTGCTCTATTGCAAAAAAGAGATACCTTTTAATCTTGTAATTAAATTTTTGACAAAAAAAATAGATGTGATTTCATATGAACTGGTTTTCTTGACACATTTGTGTTTTCCCTGTGCTCAGTATTTAAAACACAATCTAAATAGAAATTATGGGCTAGATACAGGCATAGAGCACAAATTTGTATTTAGGAAATCTATGTAATTGATTTTACAGGCTTTTCTGATCAGAAAGTGTGATGACAACGTTGTGCAAGAAGGGCATGTGATTTACAACTTTTTGCAAGCATATCTTATGTGCATATTTTTAATAACTTGCCTGTAAGGGGCCAAATCCTACTGTTCTGCTCGACGTTTCTCTAAAATCAGCAGCTCTTTGACACTGTGCTCTATTCTGCTGGCCTCCTACTGCTGCGTGTCATAGTTAATACTGTGAATAACTCAGCTTGAGTTCAATATTCCTGGTTTTAACTATAACTACTCTATGGTAGTAATTGCTTGCAGGTTTGAGTATCTTACAGAGGCCTACAGGACACTATGATCTATGCTCATGCAGAGGGATGAAGGGAAACAAAACCAGCTAGGTAGTTTGTAAAACCAACAATTTCCATGGTCAGCTCTGCTATTTGCCATTTGGATAGCCCCGACTGGAATCACCTATGTAACCTAAAAAGAAACATTACCTGAAAACACTTCCAATATTAGCTTTCTTTTCTCTATGCATTCTCTAAGTTGCTGTAAACATCCAGGATATCCATATATATACACATACACCCCTAGGGACGTGTGTGTATACATGCATGACACATATAGATGTATATATACACATATACACACACACACAGACACATAGACATGTACATATATGGATACAGAGCTATGACGTCGTTAGGAAACAACAATGCCATTTTTATTGCATTCTTAAGTATCATGGAACAAGGGTATTATTATAGGCACACATCTCAACTACTCCTCCTTTACTACAGTTCTAAAGCTCATTTACCTGAGATCTGCATCTGTAAAAATAAAGTTCCATTTTTTAGCTGCGTGTTACAAAAGACTAAATATCAGCCCCACAGATATGAAATTACAACCTAATTTCTGTGACTAATTTGCTACAAGTAAAATATTCTATCTTATAAAAAAGATACTGCTGGAAGAGATACATATTAAAAAGGAAACATGATTCTTAGAGGTCTAAAAATCTCCCTATGCCTTCCCACGTGGTAATAAATTTATAAAAAATATTTGACACAGAAAATCTCCACAGAAATCATCCTGCTGAAATCACGTACCCTTTCAAGACACCCATCTTGCAAACGTTACACGGTTCAGGAGCGCAAACTCCGCACAGTGAGCATTTAATTCTCGTCGTCCCGTCGGTAGTGAATAGTTTGTATTTCCTGAGCTATGAACATGGCCATCTCTCTCGTGCCTGCAGCAATCACTCGGCAGGACATAAGATCCAGAGGTCCCCCTGAGGACAAGAGGATTAACGAGAAGTGTCTTAAATATAAGCCATGCTGTAATTAGATAGGGTCACAAACACAGAAACAACTTCATACGCTCCTTTTGGGGTGGGAAGGACAATCTAATTCAACAACTCCTACATGGAAATCCACAGCAAAAAAATATTTTATAAAATTCTAGATACAGAGCCAAAGTATGCAAGAGGAGCAGTGAATGCCTAGATTTGTTCAGTAGCCAACAATAAATGCAATATTCCTCTCTTCTATTGATGGGACAGAAACTAGTTCATTCAGCATACCCTTCTTAATCCACCAGATCTTTCCATAATATCCAGGTACTGGTCACCAATTAACTATTATTTTGAGATACATACCAACTAAATTAATTAAGTAAAAATCTGGAAACTGTGCTGCCCTTTACTACTGAGTAGTTTCTAGTCATACATGTCCAAACTGGTACCTCAGAGTCCTCCTTTCCTGGGAAGATGTCTCCTTTGAAAGCTAATTGGAAACATCTGAGTGTACCTGCCAGTCTCCTGGGCTGGTTCCTTACTGTAAATATGAGGATTTAAGGGAATTACTCAAAGTCATGGAAATAGAGTTTGACTCAGAAGACCTTTGATGTGATGAAACCTCATGCTGGAATTACATCAGTGTGTTCTGAATAACCAGCCCGAGCCTAGTGGAGGGTACAGACCTTTCTACAGGATATTGCTAGAAATGAGGCAGAGCCACAGGGGCGGCGCTGGACTGGGGTGACACAAGCTGCCCCGAGGCAGTCACTCACTCAGACCCCCCGAAGTCAGAGGAAAAGCAAGGGCATTTTGCTCACCTGAAGTGTCTATCACAGTGCCACCTGCCTCTCTGATGATGACAGTGGCTGCTGCCAGGTCCCAGCAGTGCAACCCAAACTGGTAATAGGCATCGGCAGCGCCGGACGCCAAATGGCACAGGGCCAGCGTCGAGCTCCCAATGACACGGACCCTGCACCCCACAGCAACACAAAGAAGAAAATGCTTTTGTCTTCAACCTTGTTCCAGTCTTTTTTTTTTTTTTTTTTATTACTTTTTAAAATTGCTTTTTGGTCACAAATGTGAGACATATGCTGTAAAACACCTTACCCATGTGCTTGGGCCTTGAGCAATCTCTCAATGTTACCAAGGAACAATTTCAAAGTTGCAGGGTCACGTTTTGGACCAATTTCTGTTAAAATTAAGGCCTTCGAGATATCTGCAATGGTAGAGAGATGTTTCCATTAATTCAACAGCTTCCAGGTAGGTTCCATAAATTTGTTTTTAAATTAAACACTAACGGACTTTTCACACAAAAATAATTTTCATGTCCCTTTTTCTATCCCAAACCTTTTCATAAAGTGACAACTTTGCATAGAAATTCAAGCAAGACTAGGTTTCTCCTATCAAATGGTCTGTTCTAAACACACTTAGAAAAAGAAACAAAACAAGAGGATTAAAACCAAGAATGCATTCTGACATTCCTGCTCTTTCCATACATTATTTCATTGACCAGTCACCTTCTTGTAAATTCACTAATACTAGCAGTCAACTAAAAATAAACCAGTAATCTAGTAACTGCTAATAATGTTAATCTATTCATATTTGAAAACAGGATGGTTCATGAATAGGGAATTTTAATGTAATCTGTTAACCAATTATAAACATTTGGGAACCCAGTAAGAGGAAAGAAAAGTTCCTCCCTAAATCACCAGTCACCTAGCAATAGCTCATTCTGGCATTTCAAAGACTCAGGACACCTTGTGACTGGAAAAAAATTCCAAAACCCTTCTTATGACAAATTAAAGCAGTCTTTTTAATCATAATAATCTGTGAATGTTCTATTTGTCTTGTGTTCAGCAAAGGCAATGCTCTCCTAGAGCAGATGGAGATACCAGCCTTGTGAACAGTCAAAGGAGAGACTCACAGTGACTTGAAAGGTGTTGAAACAGTCCTCATGTGAGATGTGAATACTGCCAGGCTACAACAAGCGTATGCCAATGTAGGTGGAGATGGTTGATCAAATGCCAAGTGTCCCTGCTCCTGCAGTGCCAGCTGAACTCAGAGGCGTTAAAGGGATGACAAAACTCAAAGGTTTAGTGGTTGAGAACTCACTGACTGGGCTGTGCTCAGTACCAGGTGTCACCTCCTACCCTGGGCCAAAGGTGAGGCATTCATTCAGGTAGGCAATCTCTACCTGGTTCTTACAGCAACACGCACAAGCTGAAAGCTCTCTGCACAAGGAGCAAGGAGGTTTTCTAAAGCAAATTAGGCTGGAGTGAGGCACCATTTAATTAAACAGGCCACCAAAGAATTTAGTATTGCAGATGAACCTCGTGGATTCAAGCAGTGTGGTAAAATGGCTGGTGAGTAACAAGCATGTAAATACATTAAAAGTTACAGGGTGTCACAAATATTCACTGTAGGAACATGGATACAACTGCTACTTTTAAAATTAGTGCGTTAAAACAGAAAAACATCGATCCAGGCATGCTGTAGGGTATTTGTTATTTAGCCACTACTAAGAATTCTGGATGGTGAACGCGATCTGCCTCAGAGTATTTTGCATAGCAGACCCAATTTATAATCAGAGGACATTTAATGTGCATCTCATTGCTGAAATGCACCAAGCATTCACACCACGCCAGACATAGTTAGGTTGTGACTGAGACAGTTATTCTTTTGAGTTATTAAAGTATTTCATAGACAGATCTTTTCAATTTTTCTCAAGGCTACAGCTGGAAATTGGATGAACAGACTAAGGCAACTAAGAGGGAGGTCTCTGCTTAGAAAAAGGAGCTGATTGATCACAAGACATTAAGAGATTTCAGGAATTCAAGATATGAGATAAAATTTACTGACTATTCCTCATTCTGATAGAGGCCAAAAAAAAAAGGTAGACTTGGTAGGAAAGATTTAACAGTGATATGGATAAATTTATGAGTAAAAGATCAATTCTGTTAACCACAGAAATTAAAAAAAGAAAATACATTTACAGTATTAGCACATGTAAGATCTGACATGAATCTAAGCATGAGAAGAAAGTATCAAGATAACAGAGAAAATGGATCCTTCATTTAAGTGTATCATAATTGCATGGACTCCCATACCAAACCTCTACAAAATTGGGTTTTGACAAAGAAGGGTGTTTGCCTGATTTCAGATTATTAAGTCTGAACAGTGAATGTGTAAGTGTAGATCAACATCATACAATAATCACATTTCCTGAAAACAAATGGCAGCAAGTGACATGACAGCTGAGATCTCAAACACATCACGGCCACTTCAGTTCCAGTGGCAGGTAAACACAAATCTCTCTTCCAGGGTAAATTTATTTCACTGAAGCCACAGCCCTTACAGAGAGCAACTGTGATTTAAGACACTTATCAGTAGAAGTGAGATTAAAGCAGATCCAGCTTCACTGGTGAAAATTTCCCACCACAAAACAATGTATCTCAAAACAAAAGAAAATTTCAAAGTATTTGGGAGGGCGGAAGGTCTGCTTCCCTTGCTATGTTCTAGACACCCACATAGACTGGATGCCTAGAGAAAGGAAGACAGAAGTGATGTGTGCCAAAATTGTTCATTGCTCAGCTGGAAACGAGAACTCTCTAACTGCAAAAGCATGTGAGGCCATTTCCACAGTGGTTCATGCAGCCCAACTGGGAGCACCCCTAGGTATTCCTAGTAGTCTCTGCCATTCTGGGCTTTCTTGGAATACGAGATACTTGAGCACTGACAAAAATGTGATCTATAATCAGTGATTAAAATCTTAGGAATTTAAGATTTACAATGACTTTACAATCTGTCTCTCCAAGTATGCAGACCCCAGCTCACTATTAACTTAGATGAACAGCCAAACTTCCCAAATTTCAGGTGAAATTTTGATGCAGGGTCTGCTTCAGGCACTAAAGAAATCTGTATGTTAAATTGCTTGAATTTACTGTGTTTTGTGCTCATTAAATATCTCTTTGGGGTGAAATTTTTACCACTTTGTGTGTACAGTGGTGCACGTTTCTGACATATATCTGCTTCTACTTACAACTGACTGCTATGCTCTCCTCTGCATTTTGATTAACTAAAAGAAAACTTCTCTAAATAATATCAAATTCTTGTTTCCTATAATCAATAGGTAAACAGACAAATCTATGACTTGGTTTACTGATGAAAGAATTCCATTCCAGCGTTGGCAAAGTGTTGCTGGCTGTTTGTACATCGACACATACCTCACACGCCAGAGCAAGCTGCTAAAGGACCCCTAGTGAAGCATGCACCCTTTAATTCACTGTTAGCACATTTGCCTACAGACATCAGACACTCTGTGACATACAAGTCCACTGGAAAAGAAGTGAATGGCAGCCACAACAGTACTCTGAATTGGATTCACCATTCCCATTGCATCTTGCTTATAAAAAGTTATGCCAGTGCTCAGCTGGAATGAAATTGGTGAATCTACACGTTCTTCCTCATTTTAAACAACAGCTGTGAAGCAAAATTATTTAGGATTATTTAAATAGTTCATATTCAGATGTATATTTTAAAAAGAAAAGGAGGAAAGTGATTTTTCAGAAAAAAACAAACACAAAACAACAAAATTATCATGCAGGTGAAATACTTTCCATCAGGATAATGACGTTCATTATCCTAATGATGATTTGCAACAACTCTGAAACAAAATTAATATATTCCTTTTAGAGTTCTAACAAAATCTAGACCAACCTGTCTCTTTTGATACCTGAAGCCTTTTGTCATTACAAAATGCCCCTTGACCTCTTCTACCAGTGTATAATCGTTCTTCAGTGCAGTGGTAAATTACACCAAATTCAAGCTTTAAGATTTTGAAAAGGAAAGAAATGAATGCAACTCAAATTACTCATCATAAATATAAACAACTACTAATGGCAAAAAGATCAGCAATATTTTAATTGGTACACATAATAAAGATTACACTGATGCTAAAAAACTGGAATAATTTTACTGTTACTGTGATATTGAGATATAGGTCACATAAAATTCAGTTTATAAAGAGAAGTTAATGCAATGTGTTCCTGATCCTCTAAATTCTTACTCACAGTTTGCTTCTGTTCGCATTAGAATGGATTAATCACTGAACTGTTTCCAAATGCAGTTGAAACGTTTTTACTGAAAATATGCAAGACTTTGAGGCAAGACTCTGACTGCTTTGCTTCCACTGGTAAGCAGTTACTCCTTTAAGCAACCCCACTGATCTCAGCTGGACCACAAAGATTTGCAGCCCCATGATCAGTCAGGCATCCAAACTCAGGAGTCAGGGCATACTCTTTATTAACAGTGAATGCTTTTGTAGGCACCTCAGCTTCTGTGGTGCATTGAATCTGCCTGCCTTTTCAGTCAAAGCAGTATGCTCTAATCATTTGTTCAAATCTTTCTCTGCAAAATCCTTTTGTGTGTATCTCTTGAAGTCACAGGACTCTGAGAGAAGGAGTTTGGACAGAAATACCCTCAATGAAAGCTTAAGAATGTGCAACACTGGAATTTTTGTGGGAGATTCTGTTTACCAATGAAAAGAGGGTCAGAATTAGACCCTTGGTATTTAAAATTTCTATTACTCTAATAGGCTCCACCAAAAGACTTTAAAGGACTTTACAAACCTCAAGGGGCAGCCCTGAAAATTGCCCCTAGATCAGTAATATTAACATTATTTAATTTAGGGGTACACAAAAATTAAGTGGCTTGCCCGAGGTGTCAGAAGTTGGCCACAAGGTCAAGAAAACATCTCAGACGTTCTAGACTTCATATATTTTCCTGCTGCACTCAGTGGTCATCAGAGACAATTCAAAGGGAATAGACTCTTCTGGCTCCCTACCCTGAGGTCCCATCTAAATCAAGGGTTTTTTTTTTTTTGAGGAACACACTATTAATAGACTCTCTCCCTAAAGACATCTGCAGGAATTTCTTCAAGGCTTATAATCAGGCCAGTTCCCCTGTGTGTACTTTGGCTCCTTTTTAGTTTACTCTTTTTTCTGCTTGTCCTATTTGTTTAACTGAGGGAGATTTAACATCATTCTTTACTTTTGTTTCAGCTTTGTTTAGTTTACATAACCCAAAATATGCAGCATCAAAATCATGATGGTGTTCTAGAAAACATAAATGTTAAGAGAAAGCTGTCTGGTAATAAAATGTAGTGTTCAAAAGGACCTTTGGCAATGAATAAATTTCAGAAAAGCATGGAAGTGTTTCTCTGCAGTTTCCATGTTTGAAAAGTCCAACCAGACAAGTATACAACATTATTCTGTTTAAATCAGTAAGAAGTACTAACACATCTGAAAACTTGGTTGTTACTGCACAGACTTTGTTTAAAGCTATACATATATTCAAGATTGTGGAATTAGGCTGAAAGAGGCACATTCATTGGCAATTTGAGTAACTAGTTATTTCACAGATATACATCAAATTGTAAATCAGCAACATCTGGAGAAAAGGCACTAGCACAAATGAGTATAGCTAGGAAAATCAAAATGGCACATGGGAAGGCCAGGTACCTTCCCACCCTCACCATAATCATGCTCTCATGTAGCAAATATAACTATTTTACTATACAAATGCAGATTGAATGAACTAGGCCCATAATTTTGCACTCTTCATAAAAACAGTTCTACATTAACTCATAGCAGGAGTTAGCTTTCACAGATACTGCTAGCAGGAAAGGCAGTAATAATAACACAGGAATACTGGGATATGTGTTTAAATTATGAAGAGGCAGCACTAAATTGAACTTATTATGTTTTTTTCCTAACTAAACCTTGCTTATACCAATAGTTCTTTTTTCTCCAAATAAATACCATAATACTTATAATAATTCATAAAATTCTCATATAATTGTCAGGTTGCATAAGTAAGTTTTGCAGGACTATTATTTTAGATGAGTAGAGTATGATCAGATGCATTTAAAAAGCATAGCAAAACCTGAGTAATGACTGATCTTTTTTTTTTTTTTTATTTTATTTCAAGCTCGCACATGGTTTTGAGACTTCTCGCCAACTCTCAGGTGCCCATCTTAAAGAGTATATTTCCTACCTCTTTGTTAACTGCAAATCCAATGCTCACTGCCACTGTTGGAAATCTGTGAAAAAGAAGAAATGAAGTAATACTGATGAAAAATCTCTCAACTTACCCCTTATGCAACCCCCTTGGGTAACAAAACCCCTCATGGAGCTCTGTGAGTTTACTTGTCAAAATTCACTCGACATTATACTATTTCTCTTTGTCAGCCTCTTTAACTTTGTGAATTCCTTTTAATATGTAAGTTAATACTGGAGAAGGCAAGAAATAAACTCATGAAGACATCACAATTTTCATACTGAACGTGCAGTATATTTTGGGGCTGGTTTTGCTTTAGTGTAATTGAATTATCCAGTATAAAACCACTACTGTTATAACAACTCATTGCTTCTAAGAGCACATTTTGTTCAAGTTATGCATCTGAGATAGCAATTAAGTAGCATGGAGACACCTTGCTGCTGACACCACCACAAAAAGAAACCAGTTCCTCTATGCTCTGCTTTTTCAAAGTGATGATCATGTATTTAACTTGATCCTTTTGACTACCGTATATTTATTACATTTTAAACGAAGAAATAAATTAATTTCTTTAAAACCCATTTCAAAAAGGACTTTGAAAGTCCAGAAAATACTGCTAGAAAGAGGAAATTTCACTTAATGGCATGAAACATCACCACATGACATCCCTTGGAATTCTGTGTAATTGCACCGAAAGTCCAGGAAATTTTTTCTTTTTTTTTTTGCTTTATAAAAGTCATAGTTATTTTAAGCCGTTAGCTATAAGGCAGGGTTTCTAAGCAGAAATATAATGAATAGTCACTAGTTTACAACTCCTAACACTGGAATGGATAATGAAAAGTCTTCCTTTTTTCAGCAATGACCCCTAGATTTGGTTTTGCAGAGCTACCATAGGACTCTAACACCAGTATCTGTACAGCTCAGTTCTCAGTGCTGCTCTGCACACAGGCACTGGCTGCACTTCCCAGGAAGTGCCTGTGCCCAAAGGGGAGAAGGAATGTATGGAACCCGCACGAGGGCTGGGCCAGGCACCCTCACAGCACAGCCTTATTCTCCCTGCACTGCTCCATCCCTGCCCAGTAACGTGTGCTGGCTGTGAGTGAGCCAAGGGCTGAGCCAAGGGCTGTGAGCCAAGGGATGTGCCAAAGGCTGAGCCAAGGGCTGAGCCAAGGACTGTGAGCCAAGGACTGTGCCAAGGGCTGTGCCAAGGGCTGAGCCAAGGGCTGTGAGCCAAGGGATGTGCCAAAGGCTGAGCCAAGGGTTGAGCTGAAGGCTGAGCCAAGGGATGTGCCAAGGGATATGCCATGGGATGTGCCAAGGGATATGCCAAGGGATGTGCTGAGGGCTGTGAGCCACAAGGCAGCCGGCAGAATTTCCAGCTTGCCCTCAGAGCTGCACAAATGCCAGGTACCTCGCATGCCAGGCACCCAGAGATAAAGGGATGACTCCCATGTGTGAGTCAAAGGAACAAACCCACCAGGGAAATGCACCTTGAGAAGGAAGGGAGGACCTGTGAGAAACTACATTTTGGGTTTTGGTGTGTTTCCCAGGCTGCTGGCCATTTACCTGTGCACAAAGTTGCACGTTCCATCAACAGGGTCAATAATCCAGGTCGGACTGTCGGTGAGGACACATTTTGAACCTGCAGCAGTGGATTCTTCTGCAATAAACCTGCATTTGGTGCAAGGGTAAAACAAGTATCCCAGAACATTATAGGTGACTTGGAAAGTACAGCCCCATCATTCTGGCTTTTAAGAGAGAATTTCTCTCTCCATAAAACATTCTTGTATAAATGTCAACACACATACTGCTTTTTCAATTTAGGAATTGGTAACTTTCATAGAGACTTTGAGGGAGAGTTCTCAAATCTACAGCATACTATTTTACATGGCAAAAAACCCCTCTATTTATGTACACCTCTCCAGTATACCATTAAGGAAGCCAAGAAAATGAATGCAGAAATGGATCTGAACTGGCATCCCTGGAACCCAAGGAGAAGATTATTTTATGCAGAAGATAATTTCATGGGTTAGGTCTGTCACTTGCAATAAGTAATATAAACTGCAAACTGCACCTGCTTCTCTTCTGCAGTCAAATTCAGTCAGAAGGAAATAATACACTCTTAGAAAATCCACAATCTTGTTCCTATTTGTACTTTTTACAGTAATGTGACTCAGGAAATTAAAAGGTTTACAAAGCTGGACTTTCTTTTTCCCATGACCCAGAAAAAAATCAACAAATTATTTTTTGTTTGTTTGTTGTTTGGATGCACAAGGCACAAAATGAAATCTGAGATCATCTTCTGTTCTGTTGTTCTGTCCCAGTTTCTTTTAGTAGTTTTCTTCTTCTTTTCCCCTGGGAAACAAACATCCAGTTCTGGCACATTTCCTGTCAACCTTAATTATCCCTGCTTTCCCATAAACTGCCCAAGGTCTCTTTCTGTAAGAGATGTGCAGGTGCTAGTCTCACAGATTTTCATAGAATTCTATATGTACAGCAGGAGTGGAATTCAACTGCTAGTACTGATTCTTGCTGGTGGTTTCACATTTGAACAGCTGGCAGTGGTATTCAGAGTTTCTGCAAATGCTTGAAGACAAAAAAGCTTCTCTCAAAGACACAAAGAGGAAAAAAAAAGGATAAAATAAAGAGAAAATGTCTTTTGCAAAAGACTCCTTGCCTGGGACTAAAGTAGCAGCTATTTTATTTTTTGTCTTCAACCTGTACCTAATGATTCCAGATAACACTTGAAGCTTGAATTTAAAATGTTCTGCAGACAGCACAGGAAGAGACTTCCTGAATTTTCCAAACGCTACTCTGCCTCAACCTAAGTAGAAACAGACTATTTTGATGGCATTATAGACCCCTAGCTGGTACAAAGAGGGAACTGGGAAGTGTTTGTTACTATTTTCATGTCCATTAAAGGAAACAGCTGAAGGACAAAGTGCTAGTGCACAACTGAGAAACAAGAAAGACTTGAACAAGGATTTGAAATTCTCGGTTTAACACAACACTTTGCAGGCTCCTTGCTCTAAATATTCCATTATTTTGTCTTGTTGGTGCTGTATCACTTGACTTTTGCTTTCACAATTCCTGTAATCAGCATCCAAACCCAACCATGCCTTATCTGTGCTACTGGATGCAGAGGAGGCTCATCTTCTTGTAGGTGGAGCACCTAACATGCCATCTCAGATAATCCATATTCCACTTAAATTATACCTCTGCTTCGACCCTCTGCCAGCTCCCCCAGCTGGAACTTGAACTATAGCTGCTGTCTTGCCAGTCAAAGAAAGGTGAAACGAGAACTTCATTAAAGACAGGAATATTTCTGTGTTAAATGATTTGCCCTCAAGCATTGTGAGCCAGTCCCTTGCCTTTCCCTCACAGTGGGGGTGTGATGCTGCAGTCCCTGAGCTCAGAAATGCTAACCTGGAGCTGGGACACAGCAGTGCCACTGATAAAATCTTCATGCTCAAGAGCAATTTTTCCAAAATGGATGTAGAACAAATTAGCTGCATATTTTATGAAATCTGGGCTAAGGGTTAACAAAAGCCCACCTTGCTGCTATACAATACTGGGAAATGTGAGAGTCCTGCAAGGTCACCTAAGATATCTTGCTTTGTGTCCTGTAAAAACCTTCAAACTAAGCAAAACACTCCGTGAGAAGTACTTGAGTATATTCTAGGAACAGCTTGAGAAGTGGGAGAGGTAACCACCTCATTAAAACAGTTAATTTAATATACCAGCCTGACAGCTCAACTGACCTCTGTTCAAATCTGGATTTCAGTTCACTCCCACTGAAAATGAGTCTAGTAATTTTAGCCAAGCCTTAGACTACATCTGTTCATGCCATTCAACACCCTGAAATTCACTGCAGGAACAGCAGGGAAGCTGTAACATACATTAATCCGCAGCAGGAATGATATCCAGTTGAGTGCAGGAGACTCAGTCTGGGGCTGTCCCTCACCTATCCCCATATGGGGATCCAAGGACAGAATGATGAGAAGCTAGAGTTGGATGTCACCCTCTTAAACTCCTGTGTCCTGATTTTAATGTCTACAGAATAAAGGCCACAAGGAACACAAAAGATGACAGCTTGTGTAATAATAGCAAGGGTAAATGTTGGGATAGCCTTTTGCAACCAGTAGCCCCTGGTAGTCTGGTTGTGCCTACCCACAACTCATGGATCTACCTGAAAAAATATCCTTTTGAAAAGACTCACTGGGGGCACATCAGAGTACTAAAAAGTGAGCAAAGATTAAAACTTGAGTAAAGTGGGAATGAGGATGATACACATCACTTAACCAAGAAGAGAGAAGAAAAAAGAAACGTGGGACAGAATGACTTTTTGAAGAGATTTTCCTAGTATTTCTCTTTACTTCTGAGTACATTTCCAGTATGTAAAGACTCATAAGCACCTCAGTGCAAATGGCAGATCCTAATAAGATCCCTTTTAATTCTTCTAACACGTAAAGTTCCTTTTTTATTCAGATCAAGAATCAATAATCAATATGATTTAGAAGAAAAAGAAATAATAGAAATCTTCAGTGCTACTTTTAACAGCCAGATTAGGGGAAAGGCTGAATACAATATAAGTGATCTCCTAATATTTTCATTGTACTTTAATTTAACCCCTGACTGTTACTGTAGACTCATCATTGCACATGTTTTAACTATCTAGTTAAATTTAGTTTTAATCTATTGTTTAATCTAAATGCATTAATTATCTGAACAAATTCTAAGCAAACCCAACAACCACTATCAACAAAATAAAATTGTCCTGAAGAAATGGCAGTTCCTTAATTTATTTATGAAGTCAGAAGTTAACTGTACGGAATTCATAAAATCTGGGATTTTTCAGTTCCTAAGCTTATGCTGACCTTACAACTTTTGTTCCCATTCTGAGCAACTTGAGTGAGTCTGGTGATCCGCATTTTATGGGAAATGTGTAGGTTTTATGTTCCCTGCCAGACTGTTCAAGGGAAAAAAAAAACTAACATAAGAGTGGAGATGTGAGAAGAGCACAGCCAGCAATAGTAGAAGGAGTATTACACAAATAATAGGCTTGTAAAGCCTGGCACTCCTTTGAGAACTGCAGCCAAGAACCACACATTGTGCTGTACAGTACTGCTTCACTATGCCATCACATACAGCATGTATTTAGAAAGCTATATTTAGTATAAAATATGCTTTCTGCTCCTTCTTATGGTGTTGCTGTTTTGCCCAGCAGCATCACTGGCAATCAGACTAGTAGCTGAGCCCTTCAGATTTTCCTCTTTGTTCATTTCTGCACTGTGCTAGAATGCAAGGCTCATCCCCATCAGAAATGCCCACAGTTAGAAGAGAGTCAGACACTTTAAGGGGTACACGGGCCTTGCACTGGCTCTGCAGGAAAGTAAATTTTATCTACTGAAGTCAAATATAGAAATCAATGGCAGCCTCTGCAACAAACCAAACCTGGCAACTAATACAAACCCTCTCTCTAATCTGTGCATGAGCTGAGTTGCTATTTTCAAGTTGGCCACAATAATTCAAGAGGAATTGACAACCTGATCTACTTTTAAAACCTTGGGCTTGCACCCCATGAAGTAATTCATAGCCTGCTTATGAGTAGGCATCAAATAATGATGATGATGATGACAAACAGCCCTGCTTCTCACTGATCTTCTCACTACAGAACACAAGGTAAATGTCATTAAATACACTTTTACCTCTCCTGATCTGGCAAACTCATGTGTGTGATGGCAACAGGAAAGATCTGCAGGGTGGGACCTTTGCTAGCATATATTTCTGCTATATTTCTATAGATAGCCTTAGCATAATACTTATACAGTAAGCAACAGACCAGTATTCTGAACATCATGGAGATCCACATGAAACCTTCATCCATGATGTCCCTACAGGGGAAACATTGCTATTAAATACATATATCAAGAAACGTAGAAAATATAAAGCATATAAAGTACTAAGTATAAGGAAATAGTACTTTAAAAAAATAGGGGTCCTATGAAGATGTCCAACAGCAATAGGTTAATATATAGGAAAGATACAGAGGCATTAGAAAGATCCACCGACTTTTAAAGTTCCCTTTAAATGCCAATCAGACATGCAGCACATAAAGGACAAAAAAAAGGTCACTGATAGTTTCTGTAGGCACTCACCTGTGGGAGGGAAACTTCTCTTTCAGAACAGAAATAATTAAATTTTCCACAAAATGATCAGTTTCTGTCACGAGATCTGCTGCAGATGTCTTTGTGGACACTTGTTTTTCCTCTGTTAGAGCTTTCCTAATAATCTGAAAGGGAAGTTCTTAAATCAGATTTGTTGGGCATTCAGCCTGTGCTGAATATAAATAATATTTTCACTGATAAAAATATAGCTAATCCTGAAAAACAGCTGTAGGCCTAATTCTACCAGAGGCTGTTTTAATTTTTTGACAAAAAATCCTTCTGAGCCAATGAGTATTCTTTGGGAACATGGCATTTTGAATCATTCTGCAAAAATCTCTCTTGACAGTTCAGAAAAAAACTGATTAAGGGATGCAACTAAAGGAATAAAAGGATGATGGCAGTCATCATGATTTAGAAAATTACCAAAAGTAGACACAAGATAAGAAAAAGCCTCAAGGCTCAGGCATTTTCAAAGGAAAGCCCTTTTTCTTTCTTCATATTTTCTGTTTTTTTCTGTTTTTTTTTTACTTGCAGGGCCAATACCCCACTGGTCTCTTACTTTAAAAGATATGCAGTAAGGGAAACATAATTGGTTTCCATTTTGCCAACAAAGACACACCGTTTTTTTGGGGTTTTTTGTGGGTTTTTGGAACTTTAAATGCTGACCACCCTCTGGTTCCCAAATAATTGCCATATATTTAACAAGAACAAAAATTGAAGCTTTCCCTAAATACGAAACCAATTATTTTAACCCGGACGCTCTTCTGGAAATGTCTTTATCTGATTCTCTAGGGTATTAATGTTACAAACTCAAGTACAAATGCACATATGGGAAAACACTTAATGAAAGCTTTTCCCTACTTTTCCCATTTTCTTTTTTTTTTTTTTTCCAGTTCTTCATTAAAAAGAAAAATAAAGGGACAGGATGCAAAAGGAGATGGCTTACTTTTTAATCAGTGAAAATGATAAATTATTTGAAATTAAAAAAAAACACAACAAAGAAAAATTAAGCACCACTTAATTGCTTACAATGATGGTATTAAAACTCAGCAGCAACAAGATCAATATTCCAAGTCTTGTCTAAGATTTATATATTTTAATCACTTAACTAAATTTCCATTGATCAAAGTATTTTAAAACCATTGAGAAATACTTGATGACCAAAGAGAACAGTTCTGCTGCATTATGCATGGAAAAGGGAACCAGAAACTCCCAAATGTCATCTCAGCTCTTGGTTTTTATAGTATAAAATACCATATTTCAAGTGTGTGCTAATTGTTCTGACAAGTAATGGGTATGGCCGACTATTGCCTTAGTATAGAAGATATCTGGACTAATGTTCCTGCTTTGTGAGCTTGTGAGGGCAGGTAGTACTTTTCAGTTTTAGGTCTTGCTAAAGTTCATTACTGTATATCAAAATATTAACTACACTTAGTCCTTTTACTCCTCTCAATGCCCTGTGTGGTTGTCTTGAAGGACTTACGACAAAAGCATGAAAGTGCAACTCCAGCAAGGCCCTTGGGCTCCTCTTCAGCCCAAAGCAAAATCCAAAACCACTGCAACCACCCTCAGTTAAGTATTATAAAAAAAACTGCTATGCTGATACCTTGTATTTTATTTGCTCTTCTTTACTTTCCTATTGTCTTTACTGCTTGAAAGTTCACATAATGAAATAGATGAGGAATGCCCTCCTTTTGACAGAGAATATTTTCTTAGCAATGCCATGCCCTTGACTTCTATTCAGTTTTAATGCATAGTAGATTGAGATTTTTGCAGCCATTTAAATCATTGCCACTGCTCAGCAGAGCAGTGAGATCATACTTGAGCCTTGCTGAAAAAGAAAAAGTGGAGATGAAACCTCTCTCCTGTGGATGTGCTCTGCAATCAGTTGATTCCATTGCATGCTCTGGCACTTGATCTCTGGTTTGAGTACAACCCTTTGCACATCCCAGCTTCAAATTTAATATTTTTTTTATTTCTGATCCTTTACCCAGTTGCTTACAATGATTGTTAACTTTAACCTGGTCTGTTTCTCTGGTGGTCAGCATGAGGCTCCAGCCACTTTGGAGGTGGCAGTAGCCAAGGGTGTGCCTGCACTATGAAGTGGTGGCCAATGGCCCTCTCACCCATCTCCTCTGCGGGCCCACACCAAGGAGCCACGACACACATTTAGCATTTACCAGCCCTGCAATGAGCTGCTTCTCCCCACCTCTTGAGCAAGCAATATGTCAAGAAGAGAGGAGGAGAGAAGTCATGATGCTGGGCTGAGGTCACCAGCCACAAATGGGCACCACATCTGTGGAGGCTCACCCACACAGCACACAGGACGGACAGCTCTGATCCTGCCAATTCTCTGCCACTTACAAAGGGCTTGACAAAAGGGACCTCTATGCACTTGCTCCAGCTTGTACAGGTATGCAATCCAAGCCAGAGTAGCCCCATACAAGGATCACATTTCCTGCATAATTGATGAAAAACTTTTATTCTTTGCAAAATGATCAAGCAGCTCATAGCAGTGTAGAATTCACTTTATCTTGAAAAATCCCTAGAAGTCAGCTGCCTACAAAGGAGTTTTATAGCCTGCTACCTCAGAATACTTCAAGAGCATCATTCAACTCCTTTCCTTGCAGAAGCCTTACAATAATGTTTGTGGATACCTGCTGCAATTGCCTGGTCTTTCCAGGTGGACATGGGGGTCCATAAAAGTCTCACTCTAGGTTACAGGCAGCAGGCAAGCAGAAACCAAAAGACCTCCAGGATAATGAAATGGAAAGAGCTGATTGTACCTTATCCCCATTGTACAATGAAACTGGCAATGAAGATGCTGTAATTTGGCTGTTAAATGTATTTTACTAGACTTTATTCCTGTACTAGGGCTTGTGCCTAGATTACATAGATTTTTCAGCAATTTCTAAGCAACTGATTTTTGGGAGCATGGTTATTTAGAGCAGAGCCATTTAACACTCTTAGCCCATGCTGCCCCTCCTCTAATGCAGATCTTATCCTAATACCCTGCTTGGGAGCACTTGGGGGGTTATGCAAAGAGAGGGGCATTTACATCATTACATGGAGATCACATCACAAAGCAAGACCCAGACTGTCCCTGCTCCCTCCTTCCATTCCCATGGAGCAGGGGAAATGGAGACACTGGGGCTCAATGCAGTCCTGGATTCTTCCTTTTTTAGTACCTTTGTGAAATTTATTCCAACAAAGCAGAATGAAGAAGACAGAGGCCCAAGATGCCTCTTCCCCCAATACCTGCCAGGAGAGCCACCTACAGCAGTGTGCTCAAGTCAGATATTTCATTTCACCATACTGCTTGCACTCACCATATACTTCTGGGAGATCCAAGATGGATTTTCTTGCTTGCAATACTGCCCTGAAATATTTGCTCGTTGATAAAATCAAACATCTAGATAAAAAGTATGAATACCTACAAATAATTCAGGAAACTCCAGTCTGGTTTGCTAAAACATCTGTCCATGTTACAAAAAAATAGCCTAAAAATTTCCCCTGGGAGCAAACATCAGGGAAAAAAATCTTGGCTTTTAAGAATACCAATGGAATTTTTTTTTTGCCTCATAAAATTATTCTCTGGGAAAAAAAAAAAAAGAAAAGAAAAAAAAGAAAAGAAAAGAAAAGAAAAAAAAAAGAAAAAGAAAAAAAGTTTGGACTTCAGCATACTATGTCCTAGTGTCAGTTTCTTACTCTTATTTTTACCTGGATGCAAGTTTACTCATTTTGGTGAAGATTTTCCAATTCTGCAATCGGAAAGAACTGTGCAGCTATTACTCAGTTCTCTTAACAGCATCAAAGATGCACAGGTCATGCCTGCTTTTCTTGAGCAAAAAGTCATATCAAACCTATGGGTGTACTCTCATGAACAGAGCAAGCAGCTTACAGAAAAAAAAATCCAGAAGAGAAGTTTGAAAAAGTGCAGTTATTTGTGGCCTTATAGAGTGAATTTTAAAGCAGGTCAATTACAGACGTTACAAAACCATGACCATTGTCATTATGAAACAGCCATATATATATTAAATGAGAGCCTGTGATATTTTATAAAAGTAATAAGAACTAAACAACAGGATAGGCAAGAGAAGCAGTGATTTCAACCCAGTAATAGAGGCTACTCCAGCAATAACACTTTTGACACATATTCAAGCATCACTTCTTTATTGGCCTTTTAAGTTTAGAATAAACTATTCCAGAGTATAGACGCTTCTATGTTGGAAAAAAGATATATTTTGTATCTATTGGAAAGAAGACCAGAAAACTATATTAACTTTTCCTAGAAATTCAAAATCTGGAAGTGCACATCTTTCTTCAGGCCAAGTCTCCTGTAGGCATTTTCTAAAGATTCCAATCCTTCCTAACCTGCCACAGTCCTGAGAAATGGAGCACTTTAAAAGAAAGGCTGAAGTGGCAAAGTTTCCTGCAGGGATGGAGACCCGAGATGGATCTGGGGAGACAGAGAATGCGAGCAGATTTCTGGGGATGGAGGTGAAGGTGGAAATGTCTGAGGGGTGGGAAGAGAAGCCGAAGAAAAAGATGAACTTGTCTAGTGTAATTGACTGCTTTTGGTGATTAAAAACCCCCCTTTAAATCAATCAGTTATCAACAAAAATCCAGTCCTACCAAATGTATGTTACACTGCACTTTGTGTTCTTAGCAGTAGTTTCTTTTGGTAATAGCTGGAACAGATTGGCACTTAAAAGATAGAGCCATACCTGCACCTTTTTTTTAGAAGGATCTCCAGTGCCTTTTGTAACAAAAAAGATTCCTTAGCATGACAAAAAAATTAGGGGGGAAAAAAACCCCAGCTTCCAAAATCCTACAACATCCTTGGCTGGTTTAAATTTCGCCTGCCAAGGAATCAGCTATTTCCTGCCATTTGCAAGGTAGCAATGGCAAACAGTAATTTCAGATTCAAGGATTAGTCTTATGTTTACTTCTTCCAGGAAAAGGTGCTCAGCTGTGATTTTCTGAGCAAGTGAAATGATTGGGGAAGCTTAAAGCTGTCTTCACAAATTGATATTTTGAGAAATAAGGTGTGGAGGCTTGAGCAAGTCATGAGTCTCTTGTGAAATGGCTGGCAGAATGACTATGCTGGAGAAACTCCTGTTTTGAGAGTCTGTGAGAGCATGACCTGTCATCCTGATTTGGATTATCCATTTAGTCCCTGCATTATTAAAACAAGTCTCCTCTCCTCTGGCATTCTGTTAATCTGTGTAGTTGTTTTTTACTAAGAAGAAAATATGTTTAACAGCACACACTAAGGAAAAGTTAAGGATCTTGGACTCAAGATAGAAAAGGGGGCTTCTTAAATTGCAGTGTATAGGTACAAAGCGGGTTTCAAAATAGAGCAGAATGGAAGCAAGAGAGAAATATACATTGCTGAGGTTTCTGCTTTACCCAGTTTCTCAATCAATAAATCTGCTGATCCCACTTCTTGTCTCTGTTAGACCTGGTGGAAGTTTTGCTGCTGCACAGAGTGGGGTCAGGATGTCTCCTGAAATGACTAACCTGCTGCGTCAAAACACAGATCTGAAATAAGCTACTACAGACCTTCCTTACACAGCTATTTGTCCCCAGCAAGTGAATTTCGACCACTCTGAAGACTCTGCCAGTTCTAACAAGAGAAAACCTCTTTGACACGGTTGTTTTTCTCTGCACAAGCTGCTGGAAAACAAATGTTGGCCCTGAAGGATGCAACCCCCAAGGGATGCGGCCTCTCAGGGAAGGGGCCCCCGAGGGGATGCAGCCCCGGAGGGAAGCACCCCAAGGGCTGGGCCCCCCCTGCCCTGGGCTGGGGCCTCGAGGGAAGCGGCCCCGCGGGATGAGGCCCCAAGATCGGGGGTTCCCCGGGACGGAGCCTCCGAGGGCTGGGCCCCCCAATGTCTGGGGCTCCCCGGGATGGGGCCCCGCTGCCGCCATCCCATCCGTCGGCGGCCCGGCTGTGCGGGTGCCGAGCCCCTCCTCGCCCTCCTCGGCTGTGCGCACCAGCCAAGCGCCCGCACGGCCCTTCCTCAGCCCGCAGCGGGAGAAGGCACCCCGGCCACGGGGCAGCCCAGGGCAGCCCAGCCCGGCCCGGCCCGGGGGCAGTGGGCAGCTCTCTCTCACCTGCCCGGCGCGGCGCGCCAGCTGCACCGCCACCTCCGCGCACTCCTTCCAGGGGTCCCCGCCGCCACCGCCCGCCGCCGCCGCCGCCGCCGCCCGCCCTTCCTCCTCCTCCTCCTCGCACGGCTTCATCGCGGCGGCCGGGCTGCCCGGAGCTGGCCCGGGGGGCGCGGGGGGCCCGGCTCCGCGCCCAGGAGCGCCCGCCGAGGAGGATGCCCTGGGCGCACACACCGCCCGGCCGGGGCTGTCACTGCGCGCCCCGGCAGCGCCCCGCCCAGCGCAGCGGGGCGGAGAGAAGCGCCCGCCGCGGTCAATGGGGAAGGCGGGCTGGCTGTTGGGCGATGACTTTAGGTGAGCCCCGGGGGCGGAGGAAGGTCGGTGGAGGCGGGGGTACGGCGGAGAGCAGTGCTGGGGCCGCGCCGGGATGGTGGGAGGCAGCGGGCAGGGTGCGCAGGGGGACGCAGAGGGCAGCATGCAGGATGCGGAGGGCAGGATGCGGAGGGCAGGATGTGCCGCGCCGCCATCGCCGTGGCCGTGCCCGGGCCGCCCCTCCTGACATGGCGCCGGGACCGCCAGGCTGGGGCTGGGGCTGGGGCACTCCTGTTTCCCCCGGGATGAGGAGGAGCAGCCGCGCTCCCCGGCCGAGCGGCCCCTCGGGGGCTCCGCTGTCCCCGTGTCCCCAGGGCCATCCCGCGGCACGGCGGCCTGGCTGTCGGCGTTCCCGGGGCTTTGGGGGAGAAGCTGGCGGCTGGCATCGGCCATCTCGGGAATGAAAGGGGAAAAGTGTGGGAAAAGCGGCCTCGGGAGTCGAAGGGCAAGTTCAGGTTTTGAACAGCAGCTTGTTAGTGCTTGGGAGTTCAAGCGTGTGGTAAGAAATACACGGCCCTTTCTATTTTTCCCTTGTCTTCGTGTGTCATTTTGGATTTGTCAAGGATGAGAAGAAGAGAATTCAGACCCACTGTTCCAGAATCCGTATAAGCCAAATGGCTATGCCAGCAGAGCAGGGAAGAGATTCTGGATCCGCCTCTTAGAAGGAGGGCAGCCCGGGATGAATGCAGGCTTATGCAATAGAGCAGCCAGACTGTTGTGCTTAAAACACCGAGTGAGTGTTGGGAACACACACTTTATCTGTCACAGTGAGGCTTTTCCAAATGACTTGTTCTGATGCACACTTGGCACTGAATGGGGAAAAAGAGAGCCCAGGGACTGAGTCCATCAGAGTAGCTTTTTGAAAGTGGCATTAGGTACATAGAGTGTATGAAATTTGTTACTGTCTTTCAGCACCTGCTTTCTGGTTGAGAGTTTCATTTTCAGGGCTAGAATATAGATGCTTTAGTGGCGAACACATTTGCATGAAGAAAATTGCATAACACAACCACTTACTGTCTCTGAGCACAAAATTAATAATTTCCTAGAGACTAGGCTAAATTAAATTGACTTGGGTATTCTACTTAATATAATAGACCCTAAATCTAGATCTATTTTCTTTTCTTGCTTATTTTCTAGGACACGGATGACTTTGGATAAGAGGGACACTCTTGCCACAGGCAATTCACAAAAATACATTTTTTAAAATTAAACACTTGGACCCTCTTCCTTCTAAAGGAAGGGACTTAACTTCGTGAATTGTAGCACAAGAACTCAACTTCGTTCTTTAAATTTCGAAGCTGCACCCTGACAGTGGATACCACAAAGACAGCAAGGCTGTCAGTAAACTTAGTAAAATATTTTTAGACCCTGTTTTGAATAAGAAAAAAAATGGCAACAAACTTTGAGAAGGTGAACTAATTACTTCACAAAGCGTAAAAGTATGAAATGATGAAATTTTGTTGAATAAATCCTCACAGAATGTTTGTCAATATTTCTGCTGACTGATTGTTTTAAGTCACTTAGCATATCTGCTTTGTTCTTGGTTAGATAAGTTTCCGTAAGTGCAATTATCCTACAAACATGCAGTATAATTTGGACTAGTATAGAACAGAATTAGTCTGGATTCTTAATTAATCTGAGTTCCCTGTAGGTTTTAGAAATTTGTGCTTTTTATTGTCGCCATAGCATGAGGTATCTTCAGGACCTTCCCAAGAGAGTTTCTGTGCAGGGCCAGAGGGTAAATGTATTTCCTGGTGAGATTTGTGGGCTGCTGAGATGTACTATAGACGGCTTTAACTTTGGTGAAAAGGAAAACGTACAGCTAATCATGGCTTTGCATTCCAGGAAGCATCTCAGACCATGATAGAAATGTTCTCTGGATTTTTCCTTGAACTACAAAGTTTTAGTTACTGAATTTACTAACAATAAAAGTCTATACCTATTGCTGAAACAGATCCTATTCTGATGTAGTGCAGATGGTTTCTTCCTGTATTCCTTGGGTCTGCCGCCAGTGTGAATTACAGCGCAGTAGGCAGGATGCACAAGTATCCCCACCGAAAGTATCTACAGGAAGTTACACGCAACATCACAGAGAAGTACTGTTGCAAAGAGGGGGAAGTGCTCTCCTCAATATTTTCTTATAGGAGTATGTCCTCTTTTTAAGTGATGCCTGGAAAATAAGCATTTGGACAGTAGAGTTTTGCCAACCTTCTCTTCATCCTGGTGGTAGAATAGTGATAATAGGGTCACCAGAGGCTGAAGCTGAGAGGTTAAAATATCTGAATGAGCCCTCATTTTTTATAGGTTCACTGCAGCTATGTGGCAAGTAGATTTAAAACAGAACTAGAAGGCCAGCAAAGAATGCTTCTTAGGAAATCAGTTACTGCAGCTAGTATTTTAAGACCTTTCAAAATACTTTGCAAAAAAATACAAAATACAGCTGCCTTTAAATGGTAATATTCCTCTTTATCATTCTCTTAGTCTATGATAACTGCTTATTTATTACTTGTCTTAAGTTTTCTTCAAACCTTCCTTAGCCTAGACCTGCCCAGGCAGTGTGAACTTCCTCGTGTGAGCTGCTGGCTGATTTTGAATATCCATTCACCTCCGAGCTGGTTGAGGCTGCTCTCTGCCTTGCTGGATCAGACTCTTGGCTCATCTTTCATAACTGCCAAGGTCTTTCATAACCTCTGATCTTTCATAACCCCAAATGCTCGCCAGTTCCTCTCACATGCCTTTCGTAACCTACACACACGCCACGTGTTTAATCTCGTCCACTTGGAATGGGCCCATCCTGATGAACCTGAAATACAAGTGTTTCTTGGGTGCTTTGTCTGCCTCAATCCTTCTGAGCCCCAGTCGGATTTGTGTGGATGTCAGACTTCCTTCCCTGAGACAATGAATGCTCAGTAGAGGGGAAAACCTGTTCTTTCTTGACCTCAGAGGAGAAAAGGGAGCCTAGGCATGGATTTCCTTCTCTCCTGGGGTGTGAAGCCCTAATTGCCTTAGGTGTGGCTCTGCTGGGGGTGGCAGTCTCCTTCCCTTCCTGACCTGCGCCTGGGCTGCTCTGTGTGCCACAGGGGTCCCCACCGCAGTCTGCTCGGAGCAAAACCCAGGGCCACTCGCTGGGGAAGCTGCTGCAGCTGGAATTGGTTTAATTCTGCCCCAGCAGACAGCTTGCCATTCTCTACTCCGACAGTAATTGCGGGCTGCAGTGATGCAATAAAAGAGGTTGTAGTCTTGCAGAGAGAGGGTGACCTCGCTGTAGCTACCCGGACGTCAATGTGGAATCCTCAGATGCCTTCCAGTGTGAATCCTTGTCACTTCACGGGTTTGATGGATGATCTCCTAATAGGGAATAAAATGGGAGGACAAGTGTGTAACAGCTGTAATAAAAACAGAGGGACAAAATTAAAATAAAATAAAATAAAATAAAATAAAATAAAATAAAATAAAATAAAATAAAATAAAATAAAATAACAAAAAAAGGAAGAAATCTTTTGCAATTATTAGCCTAAGTGCGAAAAAGCGCAGTGTGACAGCCAGAGGCTTGCTGCGCTGTTATTAAAGTGCACTTCCGTGGGAATCCATCCAGATGGCTTTTTTACCCAGCATAGGATTATATTGGATTAGTCATATAAAATTGTTGTTTACCATCTCTAGCCCTTTTCCCCAGAGCTTTTATCAGGAATCTCACAAAGCATGTTGTTTGAGCCTGCCTTTAAGAGGGAACCCAGATGAGCAGCTTTTCATTTGTGCGAACTGCTACAATGTTGTAGTTTAATGGAATCCTAATGTTGCAATGAGATATTTCATACCTGAAAAAAGAGGCTGTTTAGCCCAGATTTTCCTTTTGCCTACAAGAAGGAAAGTTAGATTGTAAGAAGATGCTCTTTCTTATTGCTGGACTTCCCAGAAGAGCTGTGCTGATCTCACTTCTGCTCCATCAGACAATTAGGAATTCCCAACACTGGCACAGCTTTTCATAATGCTCGCTGATGAGTAATTTATGGCATAATGCTTGATTAATGCACTGTTCTGAGTGGTGTATGAGACATTTACTGTGATCCCTTTCTGTCCTGCAGACCCATACTCTGACCTTCTTTCTTCTCTGTATCCAGAAGGCTCAGGGATCACTGCTTAGACACTGTCCACATTTTCCCTCCTGCCACAAACTAACAGTCTTAAACAATGCTATCCCTTTATATCTACCTGGGGGTTGGTTATAACAAGGCATGTTTTTTTCACTTCAAGGCCTGACAGATAGCTCTACTGGTAAAATGATATCCTTCAGTTTTTTCTGGAGTTTTCAGACTGGCTCTGTCATCCTGGGAAATTTTCCCTTCCAGGAAGTATAGCTGCAAGAACTTTCCTGAGGTGTGAGTGCTTTGATTCTACATCGAGACATGTTTTTCTTCTCTGTAGGAGGTTCTGTGACAAGGTAATACAGTCCCAAGCTGTTACTTTTTTCCCTAGACCATGTCTGTGGGTATAAAATACAAAGGTCCTGGTCTTGAAGGGAGAAGCAGCAGACTGCCACATGCATGCCAGTGTTGTTTTTGATCCACTGAAAACACTGAACATTATCCACTGAAAACAACCTAGTATTATAACTTGATGTTTCTGTCACTGAAGGGGATACAGAACTTCTGTCAGTGTGCTGTGACAGGGATACCTGTAGCCTAATTTGGTATAATAAATATTGCCTCTGGTTT